TTTTTAATTTTTCATATTGCAGTCGCGAAATTTTTCCCTTGAAGAAACTTGAATAATTAATTTCAAGTAATATGACAAAACACTAGTAGCAAGGAAAATTGAAAAACGTAAGTTAATATTAAAGATAATTCTATCAAAGCTTCATTAAAGTTATAAATCCCAAATGATTAAATTTAATTTAAAATAATTGGTATGATTTTAATACAATAAAAAGATTTTGTAATTTCAAAATCTAGATTCATTCTCTATTCTATATTCTTGTGATGATAGTTAAATTATAGATAAACAAAATTTTGGATCATATTCTATCCTTAATTATTTCAGTTTAAATTAAGTATTAGTCACATCCAATTTCTATACTCAACCTTTAAACTTAATTCTCAGTGGATGGATTATTCTAAATAACATTATCTATCAATCATTATTGTGAATACATAAATATTAAATTAAATAAGATAATTTAATTATTACTTAGAATTTGGAACTCTTTAGAAATAAATTGATCCCAATAAGTTTACAAGAATCAATAACGTGAAGGAGAACCAGGTAAATTATCCGAATTTCAGATAAAGAAACATATTCTTAATAAAAAAAAACTACCAATTTTTTATCAAATCAACCATGATTATAATTTGATGGAATTGTAAATATCATGATTTTATTCCATAACTATTTTAAGCTTTCATATATATATATCTCGGCTTTGTGTGATAATTATTCTATTTTATCTTAAGATCATAATTATAATTTGTTCCAACTCTTAGTTTCATAGATTAAGTTTAATAGAAATCAAAGAAATTTAATATCTGTTTAAATTAACATAATGATCAAAAAGTAAAATAAATACTTTTTTTAATCTATAAATATCATTATTCTTAATAAATTGGAGGTGTTAGAAAATAACTTTCGTTCTTCTTTATTTAAGATTGATGATGCATAAATTATGAATAATATTTATTGAATATGATTAACGAATAAGATCTATAATTTATTATTCGATATATTTTTTCCCTCATTTGATTTCCTCTTTTATAGCTTCCTTTATTAGATCAATGTTCAAATCTGTTAGAGCCAAGAATTAAAATCTACTCCATTCATTCCTGTGCACATTTTAGTGGATTCAAACATGATAGGACTCCTAATGGTTATGATAATTCCTATACTAATAGAATAATTCCTGATGCTAATCAGATTCCTGATACTTCAATTACTAATTTAACTTCACTAATTCCTTTTACGTTCTCTACATCATTTAATTTTAATTCTCAAGAATCTCCTTCTCTTTCTTAAGAGGCTTTAGATTTTACTTAGCAATAGCCTTATGTTTTTGCTGATACTTATGTTACTTGCTTAGGCTATCTGAAGGTTAAGGTTTCTTTTGCTAAATCCAGGTTTATCTTTTTTTTTATAATTATTAGTTAGCTTCTTTTTCTTGATCTGATTGTTATGCAATATTTTACATATAAATATTAATAAAGTTTATGATTAGTTTTCAAGAATTTAAAGTAAAATTATTCTATATATAATTCTTTTCTTTTTTCAGAAATCTACGGAAAATTTTCACATTCAATAACTGAGCAAAAGTTGAGAAAAATCATAGCCCTATTTTGGTGAAAATCTGCCACGAAAATAATCATGATTATACAATTAATAAAATATGCACTGTGGTTGAGATTTACTTCGATTGTAATTTATCTTAAGAACTTTACAATTAATGATTTTTGTGAAACCTATACAAATTACAAAAATGATAATATTATCAAATGTAATTTAGCTAACACGTATTAAACTACAAGAGAAAATCTTTAATCTGTTGATTAAGAGCTATTATTAAAAAGTTCATAAAAATAATCATTATTATTGATTTCTGAAGAAATAGCTAATCAAAATATTTTAGAGGAAATCCCACAAATTAAAAAAATCAATTATAATAATATTCTATATAACTTCAAATTTATTCTATATACTTTATACATCAATAACATTTTTTAATTATTACAATATTTGTATTTCAAAGTGATTAACCTTAACTCATTTTCTTTATCCTTACACATATTGTTATTCTCAACATTAATTTGTTTATTTGGTGTTTAGATCATACCAGATGTATAGAATTTGAAGATGGAGAAAAACTAGACATTAAATAACAAATTTTGGTTTTGCTTCCTAGTGTTGATAAATTTTTAAGGAAATTAAATGATATTAATTCTATTAAAATATGAATATATTAATCAAGGTTATTTTTATAATATTTCTAAAGGTTCTATTAACGCATAGTCATTATCTATATCAATAGAATTAGCTGGCTTAACTGTTAATCTATTAGACTCTTTACTAGATTAATGATCTAGATAGTTATTCGATAGTTTTCCTCCCATTGAATGGCTCTGCTGCAGAATTTAATCTCCAAATTATTATTAAATAATAAATTATAGCCTTGAAATTTCATACAATATGTTATTTAGCCTGTATTTTTCTTTTGCTCTGTTAATAAAAGCTTTATATTTATATTTGAAATTTTCAAGTTTTCTATCCACGTTTTCTTCTGAACTATTATTGTTCTAATCTTCAAATTGATTGAATAAGTTCAACTTGATTTTTTTCATTTCTGGATAATACATAGTTACTATTTCATGCAACAATTCATTTTCCAATAACATCTTATTATAATATATTGCAAAATATTTTAACAAAAATATTACTTAAACAATTGAACCAACTTGAGCTAGAACTTAACCTAGCTTAGGCAATGTTATACTTTCATTAACCGAAATATTATCAATTCTAAATAAATAACAACCAAAACTCTTGAATTCATACTTCTGTTTTGATATTTAGCTAACCACCTGAGAACTAAAATAACTATCAACAGGTTAATGAATTAACTCATAATTGTTTAAAAAATAGTAGTAATTATAATTATTAAATAATATTCCATCATCGACAACAGTTTCTTATTATTTGAGCAAGACTTACGAATATAAAGGTTTGGATAATTCAAATGCTGTATAATACTACTTTTCTATTTCTTCCAATTCTCCAACAGAATACTTAAGTTAATTTAATCTAATTGTTAAAAATAAAAACCCATGAAATTTGGTTAAATACTCATTTATTACATTTTCATCAGCACAATAACTTCCAGGGACAGCAGTCAAATTAGAACAGCTTTCTAAAACAAGCAACAATTGGGTCATTTAGAGATGGTCATCAATTCCAACATAATCATGATTTAAAACAATAGTACCGTTATCGATTGAGATAGTAAATGGCTTATCTTTACTACTAAATAATGGAATTGGTTTATCAACTATTGTTGTATTCAAAATTATATATAAATTAGGAGTAATGATATTATTCTCTTTTCTAAAAGGATCAACATCACCTGAAAAATCTTATAATTTCAATTAAATAATAGAGTCTGACAACTGAAATTCTGCATATGAAATAGTTTGTTAATTAATACTAACAATAGCAGGTATTTGATGATCAATCCATTAAATGATGATATATAAAAAATATGTGAAACTAATCCCTCCAATCAAAATAGTAATTAATCCACCAAGCTTGCTTTGATATAGGGATTCCTTAGCCGAGGTTAAAAGACTTACAGGAACCCCAAAAATATCGATTTTATCAATAGTATTTAGTATTTATTACATCTAAATTAAATAATAAAATTCTGGAGAAATATCTAAATATATATAACCTAATTATTTATAGATTTATAATTTTTATTCAAAACTATTAATATTTTAGTAAAAATTATGGTATTACATTTAGAAAATCAGGAATTTTACAATCAATAAATGAAAGCATGCTGATTAGGAAAAATAACTAAGTATTGATATTTATAATTATTTTTACATAATTGCTTCATTATAGATTTGACAAAAATGACTATAAAGAATTCTATTTTCAAGCAGACCAATTCTATTATATTAAATAATAATTATTCTAATAGAATAATATAGCTGAGCTGAGCCCCAATTCAAATTTTGCTGCTAAATTAAGTATTTGATAGTTTATATTGAGCACTTTGAGATAGCATTAATTACAAAGAATTGGTTAGAGAAATTATATTTTAAGCAAATATAGAATCATATTTTATAAATTTGATTTCAAAAAATGGATTAGAAAAGTATAAATCTTTTAAAAATTGAAACATTACATTACAAATTTTACGAAAATGAATTCTAAAAGCAAGTCTTAATAATAAGAAAGTTGAGAATTAAATTGTGGAAAAGGATAATGTTTAATAATGAGCCCATCCTATCTATTTGAACATCTCATTGAATTTAGCCCCTAAAAGGATTGAATCTTCAACAAATATTGGAAAAACTTATAAATTTCGATAAACTCTTATTGACCAAAAGACAATAACCAACTAAAGGAAAGATTCGACCAACTAGTGAAAAACAATACTTTACTTAATCGAAGGATGATAATAATCATATAATATTTTACTTAATCCCTAAACTGTTGTTTCAGTAAAGAAATTTTTCAATCAATTTGCATTGTTTAATTTTAATAAGCCGCTAAGAATATTGACCATTTGAAAGTTAGACTGATAAATTCTTAAATTCTTATTCTATCATAAAATCTCATCTCCTTAGTTTCTTATTCTTTTTTATGCCAAATTCAAACCATTTACCTACTTTACCATTCTTATATTCTCCAATATACTTGAGTTATATATCAATATGAAACCAATAACTAAACTCAATCCACTACCTTTCATTCTATTATTATCCAATAAGTCTTGAGTAATTCTTTCTACATAATATATCATTTGCCAACTTGTCTATCCTTTTTATATTCTCCATTGTTAGTGATATCTTTTGAAAACCTTTTATTTTTCTTAAAAACTGCACATAACTCGATCAACTTCCAATTTTCATCCCCTTACCATTATTATTATAGAATCTGCCCCACTTGATTTATGCTCATCTTATACATATATTTATTCATTTTGTTTCATAATCCTTACACCAAATATCTCATTTACCAACTTTTTTATCCTTCTTGCATTCTACTGCGAAAGAGATATACTCAAATTAATTTAATTCATCACTCAACTCAATCCATTTCCCAATCTTAAATCCATCTCCTACTTCTGAATACTGTCCACCACCCCTAAAAATTTTTAGATTACAATACTACCTCTTATCCCCAAGTATTCCATCTACCAACATTTTTGCTATTTTTGTTTTCTCCAATACAAGTGAATTACAAATCCAAAGAACACTCAAAATGCACTTAAGTCCATTTTCGATTGTTATGCCATCTACTCCAGAAGTATATTCTCAACCCCCCATAGAATTCTTATTGTTATGACTTTTTACATTAATTCTTATTTAATTCCTTCAATAAAATATCCCATTTTCCAATTTTGAACCATTTTTGTATTCTCCACTATAAGTTAATTATGAATAATCAAATAATAGTCACATAAATCAATCTAAAATACTAATTCATTCCTGATCCCAGTTCATCGTATGACCCATCACCACTAAAAATTCACTTTATTTTAATTTACACCATATTGTTTCCAAAACTATTCTAAAAAATACCCTATCCTATCTACCAACTTTCTTGCTATTTTTATATTCGCCAAATGATGGATTTGAGAATGCTATTTAGATCCACTACCCAGTTCAGTCCATTTCCCGCCCTTTATTACATTACCTTCTTTATTATAAGATCAACCAGCAATATAAATATGATTCATTTAGTATTTTACATTATTTCAAATTTATTTAATTTCCTATACAAAATATCCCATCTACCAACCTTCTTTCCGATTTAACCTTATTTATCTCACTACCTAAATCATAAAATCCTCCAACTCTAAAATTTCGATTCATTAATTTACATCATTTTTATATATAATATCCATTTCCCATTATTATTCAATATTTATGTTTCACCTTATAAAGTTATCTCAGCGCCTAACCAAAACTCATTATCCAACTCTATCCATTTTCCAATTTTACTACCCTTTCATCATAAGACCCTCCTCCACTATAATATTAGTGTAATTTAATTTTTTACATCTAATTTTTTAACATATCCTTCGATTATTATAATTTATATTCCATCTATTAACTTTTTTACCATTTTGATATTCCCCTTTAAGGGTGACTTATTAATCCATTATTTCAGCATAAAATCTTCCACCACTAACCAAACCTAAGATTTTACATCTAATGAAAAAAATAACAATTTTTTATTATTATATATA